AGCTACATGGAAAAATACACAAGGTATTAATCAGAATAGGAGGTTTAACCAACCTGTCATTCAGGTTCTGTTTCAAAACCTGTAAAGCTTGCAAAAAATAGTAAAAATTAAAAAAAAATAACATGAGATGCAAATTGCATTCAATGTGCATAAATACTTCACTACACCCCAAAACTACAAATTACAGATGCTTTCCAAGCACCCTGGAAACCACAGCTGGCTTGTGATGCTGTATGTGGGGTCAGACAGGGACCATAGCAGTCCCCTCTGCTGCTTCCCGCGGCTGGGACTGTGCGATCCATCTCAGCACCAGCTCCTTCACCTGCTTTATCTGCACGTGAATGTGTGACCAAGATCAGCCTGCTGCCCTGCGCCCTCAGTGGGTCCGCTCGTTGCCACTCCACACCTGGGATTCGTCTTTGGCAGTCTGCGCACCTGGGTTGCGTGCCTAGGTCGGTCTGGTGGATCTTTCCTGCCCGACCCGCAGGGGCTCTGCCCCCGCTTACCTGTTTGGCTGAGTGGTTGATTGTTGTCGAACTTCAGTATAGTTCAGTTTTCTGTGGTTTGGCTGCATTTTTGTTGATAAAACTTTGTTGTTTTTAAATTTGGTTGTGCGAGAAGGCACAATGTTTCCACCTACGCCTCCATCTTGGCGGAAGTCCTATTTTATTTAATTATTAATCAACTTATAACTAACACATTTTTAACTCTTCTTGTCTTCATGTTTTATTACAAGCTTTAACTGTTTTTTTCATGCTTTGTACAGCTAAACTAACATAATTTTATTATTGCATGATATCTTATTTACCTTTACAACTCATGAATATCAACTTAAAGTTATTATAAATAATACAACTTAGTAAATTGTGTGGTAAATAATATGCAGAAATAAATATCTGTATACACAGAGTAATTTAAAGATACAATTAAAGGAAAGAACTAATGGTGCGCTCCCAAATCCAGTGTTTGGTCTAGATGATGTGCTCATAAAAAGTGATCCCAATGAACTGGTCACTGACATTGGGACCTGAGACTTGTACCTCGAAACAGTCTTTAAAAAAAAATCAAGTCATTGATATTCCACTATAATCAACCAATTTTCCTGCTGACCTGTACTAAGATGTTATTCCCAAAAATTCCCACAAGATGACAGCAGAGATATACACTTGGGATACGTATTACTTGCTTGGTTAAACGGTTCATTGGATTTTTACATATAAAATGATAGCTGTTTTATTGTTTTAATTCTTTGGGTTAAAATTTATTTTAAATAGATTTTATTTTCTTCATTGTTTAAGGGAGCCGCAGCAAACAAAGCAAATTACAAATGATTATCAAGCACACTTGGAACTTCTAACAACCTGACTCTATGACACTATACAGCAGATTCCAACAAATGGCACATAAAACACATTCATTGCTTCTTTTGCCATAATCAGGAAGCCAGTCACAAGGTAACTGGACAGTCCGTACCTGAGGCATTTAAAAATACATTTCTAAATACCATTGCCATTAACAGTCATTGACATTCCACCAGAAGCAACCATTTTTCTTGTTAACCAGCACTAAGGTGTTATTCCCAAAGTAAACAAGAGATGGCAGCACAGAACCGAGCTTGGAGCTTTTTTTTTTTTTGATTGACTATATTCTACTGTGGAACAAGTTTCAAAAAAATGTATCAAATGATTGAAATTATATAAAGTATGTTTCTTGCTCTCATTGCATCTAATCTAGCAATCAGTAATAAAAGATAACTAGAAAGTCCTTATATTTAAAAATTATAAAATACACTTCTAAATAACCCACAAATTAAATTATAATTGCAGTTAAAACATAAATGAAACTGAATGAAAATAAAAATTGTACATAAAAACACTCTGGGAAAAGGTATTGATAAATCCACAAAATAGGGAGAAGGCCTGAAAATTCACAAATTTTGCATCATATTACCAACCCGAATAACAAATTAAATCCAGAGAAAGTGGAAGAATGGAAATATGCAACTAGTGATGTCTGGAAGGGCATATACTTTTTTTTAATGATTTTTATTGTCATTCTGTTACAGTTTCCCAATTTTTCCCCTTTGTCCTCCTCCGCCCATCCCACCCCACACACACACCTTGTTTAGAACATACACACTTAATATAATAGCAGCTATTACCTATTTGAGTAGGATTTTCAATTATATTTATTTTTCTATATAATTTAAGTAAGCAGCAACAACAACAAAAAAGGTCATTTCAGTTTGGGCTTAAAAAGTACTACAGGAAAACACTGCATAATTTAAAAATAATAATAATCTAATCTGTGTGGTGAGCAATACCAGAGGCCTTTTCTTTGATTGCCCAGCCTGATCTGCTTGTTCAGAGGGTCTTCTTTTCCAATTTTCACTTCTTCATATGCAAATACAGCCCAGCAAAGAGGAAATGAAGGTCTAGACCAGAAGTCATGTAGATGACCAGAGAAGCCCTAAACAGCTCAGCAGGAGAGGGAGTTTGCCCCAGGGCTGCCCCAGTTCAGGGCCTCCTCACAGCCCTGATGCTTCATGACTAAGAAGCAGCAGTACTGAGTTTGATACACCGCATGCTGCTTCATAATTTACCTGTGACAATACTGAGCTTCTTAACAACCATTCTGTACCCATGGCCATTCTGTATTAAAATTGAGATATTTGCACTAAAGTTTCCTTCTTCACCACACCCCAGCCTTGGAATACCTTTTGATATTTACTTGGAGCCAACGACTATAAATTTATAGATATGTACAGGGACCCCACACACAAACCTAGAGACCCCAAAGCCGTACCCAAAGAGACCCCAGATCTGAGACCCATAGCCAAATAGAGTCAAACCAAGGCCACAGACCTCAGAGACGGGACCCAGATCCATAACCAAGACTCCACAGCCAGACTCCAGAGTGGAAGCTGGACAATGAACCCTAGTTGCCAGATGCCAGACACAGAAGCTGAACCACACTAGTCAGGGTTTGCAATATTCTTAACTGTGTTTCTGTAAATGACTTTGGATCCAGTACTTAAATATAAAATTCATTGTTTTGATAATAAATGGTTTGCATCTCTCAAACAGTAACTGTGTGACAGTATATTTTACACTACGGAAATGTCCCTGCTGAAATAGTTTTAATTGTAAATTGGACACTTTGGGTGGTCAAGGTGCTATTCAGATAATGAAGGCAGCACAGGCCGCTGGATGTAATGAAGATGTGCAGCATTTTTGTTGAGTCATTTTTAAATGCATACATATATAACCAACTACTGATCTTATTCATTCTTTTATCTACAAAAATATGCATAGATAGGTTTCTTTTAAGTAAAAGAGAAAAGAACTGACACGACAATGACACAACATTCCAAATGACATGAAGGAAAAGCAAGTTTTCCCCTGCACGTTGCCCAGACCCTGATCCCTGTGGCTACTACTAGTCCCTGTGTCTCCTTTCAGCACATGTCTTCTGCCTGGGTTTTTTTTTTTTTAACACAATTTGTTTTGCAGGATACTTTTCTCACATAACAACATTGATTAGAAACTATTCTGTTAAAATCTATTAGAACCACCTTACTAGGTTCTGTTTCTTTAATGAAATATCATATATCCTCACCAATTTTTAACATTCTATAATGTTTCAGTCTCAGCAAACCATAATTAAACAAATTCTTTTCTACTGAATATTTAAAAATTATATCCATTATTATATAAGTGTTAGATAAAATATATTAAACATACTTAATTGCATACACAGGGAAGCATAACCAGGGAAAATTTTTTTGTGCTTTTCTTTTAATTTCATTTATTAATTTGAAAGAGAGAGAGCTGTTCCGCTTATGTATTCATTCATTGGTTGCTTCTTGAATGTCCCCTGACTGGAGAATGAACTGACCACCTTGGCATATAGGCAGGACACTCTAACCTACTGAGCTACCATGTCAGGGCTACTAGGAGAAATTTTTGAAAAGTGGAATTTCTGGGTCAGAGGGTATGAGGATGTTATTTCTGGATGGCTATTCTCAAGTTGGTCACTGGAGAGTCTGCACCAAAGCACCCTTCCCTGAGTATTTCGGATCAAGGACACTGCACCTGCTTGCTCATCAGCTTCAGAGATTTTGAAAGTCCTCTGGATCCCTATACAGGCCACCAAATTATGGAGTCCTTAAAAATATAGCAGTAGGCTATTTTTAACAACAAATAAGGGGTTTATTCAGGAACAGTAAAAAATGCAATTTAGAGCAAACAAGCTGTGGCAAAAGTTGTAAGCATACTCTACAAGTAAAGGAGAGGAACGTTATTTTACAGGGAGAAAGGAGGAAGTTGGGAGGGATCATTTCAAATGAAAGTGCAGTGCAGAAAATCCTCAGTCCAGGGTGACCATGGTTTCTCTCTGGCTGAGCTGCTGGGGAGTCAGTTTCTCCTTGGGAGCATGTTGGGGCTTGCAACAATTTTTCCTGTAATTGACCCTGGGTGGTGCTATGTGGAGCACCCCCACTGGCCCCCAGCTCCTCTTTAGTGAGGTTTCCCTTTATGTAGTTTCACAGTAATAATTATAGTTAGCTGGCTCATTTCCAGTCCATGGAAATGAAGTTATATTTACGTGCTCAAAACGAGGTAGGGGCCAGAAACACTCTTCCCACTTTATCCCGTGAAAGCCAGTAGCAGCAAAACAGAGACCCTGCTCTGTGGACCCCTGCCCTCAAATTTGATGTGCTATTTTTATGCTAAATAATTGTATGTTTTTCCAGTATTTCTAAATTTATTTAGTTTTGTTTGGTTTTATCTTGTCTTCCTATTCCTGAAATGTTTTCCTCCAGTTACTTAAACATACCTATTACTCATATCGCCACTTGTTTGAGACGTGAAATCCTCGCAGTATACTTACTATGTCATTTGTTGTATTTAAATGTTTAAGTCCTCTGGGGCTTATTTTGTGTCTGTGACTTACATGGTCAGAATTTACTGACTTAAGTTTCCATGTAATGCAGTGAAGTCATGACCGCGTCCTCATTGCTTATGCAGCGTTTGCTGAAAGTGGGTTAGACAAGGGAGGGCACGAACGGGCCTAGATGAAAGTTGGGGATCCCCACTACAGTCTGATGAAACTACGACACTTTGTCAGGGGGCAGGAGGGCCACGTGCACCCTAAGATCCGGCCCAGGCTCGGGGCGTCCAGCTCCTGCGAGGGGCGGGTCCCTCACCATCCCAAGGCAAATGAGCTACGGCAACCGCCAATCTAGTCCTACTTTCAGCCTGCTCCGGACACCCAGAGCAGCCAATCCCCGCGGGGCAGGGCGGGTCTTCCGCCGGTCAGTCCGGAACCGGGGGGGGGGGCTTTGACCCTCTGCCCCGCCCTTTTAGCTTTTTCTGACCGCCCATTGGCGGGTAGGGCCCAGTGATCGTAGCACTGATTGGCGGACTGCCCCCACGCGGCTATCCAGGCGCTGGCGCCCCCACTCCCCCTGACGGCGGGAAGCACAGGAGCTCCGAGAGGACGCCGGTCCGAGGTGCGCAGCGCGGCAAGGACCCCAAGAGACTGACCGGTAAACGGGGAGCCCTGCCATGTGGATCCCTTAGCCCGAGACCTTCAAAGTCCAGCCTGAGAGATCCCAGATGCCCTCATCCCGGGGGGTCCACGTCCGCTAACCCGGAGGCCGCCACATCTCTTAGCCCCCAACGCTTAGACACCCCCCAAAGAAACCCCAGTTCCCCTCAGCTCAGGGCACCCTACCCGTGACTCGCCCAGAAACACCAAATCTCCCCCAACTCAGCCGCTAAATGCCGTCGTCCTGGAATCTAGCTCTGGTGGGACCCTGAAGCCCCTCGATGGGAGGCCCCAAATCTCCTCAGCCGCGGGGGTCTGAGCCCCGGGCATTCCGAGTCCGCAGGGACCCCGAGCCTGTCGGCCTGAGAGACGGCGGTCTGCCGGGCACCGCGCCTGCGTCTCGTGCGGGCCTCTCCCGATCCCCGGGTGCACCTCCGAGCCCCTCCCCGGGAAAAGCGCGTGCCCTGCGCCCCCACGGGCCGGCGGGATGAGGGGCCCCTCAGACGCTCGGGCGGCGGCCTCTGGAGCCGGGGCTGTAGCGGCGCGCGGGGGGAAGGGCGGGAACAAGGGCGCCGGGGCAGCGCGTCCCCGCCCTATCCAGCCCCTCCCCGCGCAGGGCCCCAGCGTCCCCCTCTCTGGGTGCCCCAGCCAACGGGGAGAAAGGCCGGTACAGGGACATGAAGTGGCACTAAGACGTGCTCCTCAGCCTGGGGAGCGCACGGGCGCTGGGCTGGCTGCGGCTCAGGTGGCTCCACCTGCAGCTCCGTGCTGCCTGGACACAAATGGGGGAATACGCTCCTTTGGTCACAGCATCACAGCAGGGCTGGCGCTGATGGTGCCGCGCTCACAGCAACTTTTACTCTCCCATCCGCACTGAGCCAGTCCCACGGGCTTCCTGGTGCTTGTTCCTCCTCCAAGGTCTGTGCTTTTAGGACAAAGGTTTTGTCTCTTTCCAGGTCTCAGGGCCCCTCGACCAACTTTCATGTGTCGCCGCAGGCAGGCCACCAAGCTGCAGGAGGAGGACCCTGAGGACTCTGATGAAGAATGGACTCCAAGGCAGCGAGGTGAGGGGCAGGAGGAGCCTGAGCTGCCCTCCTGACACGGACCTGGTTTAGGTCAGGCTGCATCTCAGGACATAACCAGGCAGCAGGGTTTGCTTGTCCTGCGAACACGCAGGATGCAGAACAGTGTGTGGTACAGTGAGGGGCTATTCCTGTAAACTTTCAAGTGTGCAACATAATCACATATATTTATAGATATGTTAATAAGCGGTAAATGTGTAAGAACATACAAGTGAATAAGAAATAACTAATTCAGAATAGTTGTCACAAGAGAGGGAGGCAGGTCTGGCTGGTGAGGAGTGTCCCCACACCCGGCTGCAGGATGGCCTGCACAGAGACGGGCGGGGAACAGTATAAAAATGGTGATTAGAGGAGCTGGGGGAGGGCCAGGGTCGGGAGTGGTTGATCACTGTATCATTTCCTGATGTCGGCCATGGTGCTGTTCTGTCCAGTATCATGAGTGTTCGTTCGGTTGGTAGAGTCACTCCACTTTCATGGATCTGGGGTTGAAACACAGCTGAAGTCAAGATGTGATCTTTAACTTGACTGGAATTCTGTTGCTGTGGTCATCAGACTGTGGATGCCAACCAGAGTCTAATGATAAGGAAGGGGACGTGGATGGCCAGTATGTGCACAGGGGGGAGGATACCAGAGAAAGGAGGCGAGGTGGTCGTGGTGCCCTTAGTCCAGACAAGGCCAGTTTGAATGAAGAAAACAAGATGTAGAAAGGGTTATGTTGAAGACATGGAGTTTCTGTGCAGTTACTTTTATTATATTTTTGTCAGGAGAGGCCAATGTATTTTTTAGTAAATGTAAAAGATGCTTTATGAACATAGGGTGCACTGTAGATGACACTTTGTCTACTTTTTTATCATTCTAATGAAATTAGTTGATGGCCTCAATAGAAGCATAGCCCTTAATGGTTGTAAACATTTTGCTTCAAAACATTAATGCTTCAAAAACATTTCCCAGTCATCCTTGGATTGTTCTTGGACTACTCTCATTCAGAAGTCTGTGTCCTTAATAAGAATCTCAAGATTTTGGAAACATTTATCAATGAAAACACTGATTTCTCATCATCTTTCAGTGAAACCTTCTTGGGTGGCCTTCAGAAGGGAACAGAGTAAACATAAAAAGGTGAGTATTTCCCAAATCCTGTTGACAAAAAAATTTTCCTCAGGCATAGAAATGCAGGTAAGAGTAGGAAAATGCAGAAAGTATCCTAGGAACTGCTGCCTTCCTTTCCTAGTTTTCTTAACACAATGTCTGATAATATCATCTTTTTTAAAAGGTTGATTTATTGATTGATTTTTTTAGAGAGATGGGAAAGGAGGGAGAAAGTGAGGAGAGGAGCATGTGCGAGACACCCTCACACGCCCCCAAGGAGGGGACCTGGTCCCCAACCCAGGCATGTGCCCTGACCAGGAATGGAACTGGTGACCTTTCAGTCTGCAGGCCAGCGCTCAATCCACTGAGCCAACCAGCCAGGGCTCAACATCATCTTAATAGTTAACGACTACAGCAACAATAGTAGCTACCATTTGTTACATTCTCACAATATTTCAGACTTCAGAATTCTGTGTGAATAAACTCAAATCACAACGAGCTGATGAGGTACGTACTATAACTGTCACCATTCATGATGAGGAAAGTGAGCTTTCAGAGAGATAGAAATGTTTGACCATATGTCTAAGTTCACAGTATCAGTGGTAGTGCAGTCTAACCCACATTTGCTTCTGTAAACCACTTACAAACTCATTTAAACTTTCATAGTTTAATCCTATCCACCGTGACTCAGTTGGGTATCATCCTACAAAGCAAGTGATCGCCAGTTGATTCCTGGTCAGGGCGCATGCCTGGGTTGTGGGCCAGGTTCCCGGTTGGGGAACATGCCAGAGGCAAGTGATCAAGGTTTCTCTCTCACATTGATGTTTCTCCCTCGCTTTCTCTCTTACTTCCTCTTGCTCAAGAAAATAAACAAAATGTTTTTTAAAATTTAGAAAAATAAACTTTCATAGTTTTCTAAAGTTTACATTGTATTATCCATATGGCATTACATCATTCATCTGACTGACAGTTTTAACCAAAGTTCTTTGCTATGCTGAAGTGAGAGATGCACTAAGACCCTCTGAGTAAGGAAAGCGTACGATGTGTAGGCAGTTGGTACAGTGGATGGTCCCAGATGAAGAAGAATGTAAAGTGTCCAGGATCACAGCCTCCCACTCTAATAAAGAGCATCTCCCACCCCTGAGGAGCTTCAGGTTTGATGATTGAGAAACAAAAAATAAAATGACTTAAAGACTTCATATAGGTTACACACTCTTCAAGAGAAACGCATCTACCTGGAACTGATTTCAAATGCTGTTTCTTGTAAGGTAAAGTAACAGCTTCTTTGTGTTCCAATGAGGCCACTCTCATCCTGTTTAGAATCATTTGTTCAGCCCACCTACGTCTATGCTGTAAGCTCTTTGAGAGGCTAGTCCATATCTGAAGGTCTTCTCAGAGGTCACAGGCGCAGATTAGGGCCCTGAGGGTCCCCAAATGTTTTCTGAATTAGAATGTTTTCACAATTCCAAATTAGAAGATGATCAGTGAACACTGAAAGTAATTTCTGTGAGATGTGAAATATGAAGACAGGTGAGGGGTAAATTGATAGCAGGACTGTAATCTCACATTCATACTGTATTACACAATTCACAGAACATTTTGGTGAGCATTATTTAATTGCACGTTCACTGTAACATTGAAAATTAGCGTGTTATAGATCAGGACACTGAAGACAACTAGCTACCGATACAGCCTTATTCAAACAGAATTGGTGGGAACCAGCTCATCGAAGTACAAATGTTCTTCCTAAGGTATTGCAAATTTTATCATTTTATTTATTGTCTAGATATGCTTCTGCCAATTATTTCTTTATTCCCTTCCCAATATCCTTCGCTCAATATTATACAGACAGTTGAAAGAAAAGAGCCTTAAGGCATGGGTCCTAATCTTGGATTCATTACCCACATTGGCCCTACCTCCTTTAATAGTCATACTCCCTAGGTATTTCCAAGGGTTGAAGTTTTAAAGACATGCATGTAAAGTGTATCATCGGCCTTAAAAAATTAAATACATGTTATCTGATAATATCTGACTCTTATGTTGAAGGCAACATTCAAGGTGCCAGTAAGCTATGAATGTCATCTGAAGGAACTGTCAGGAACAGCGAATTTGATGACAGCAATTGAGTCAGAGCAGGCCCAGAAACCAGTGTCCTCTCCTGGAGAAGCATGTGCCTTTGGAAAGCACACTAGACGAAAATCAGGTAAGAGAAAATAATTTGGAAATGTTAATTCCTCTAAGTTCTATAGAAGGGCTGATAAGTATGAGCTAAGTATGTGGGGCAGACTTTGGATGGGCCTGGGTTTAACCCGGGCTAAGCTGAGATTAAAGTTAGCAATGGAGCTTTGGGCAAATCCTATAAATTCTCTGAGCTCCTGAAGGCTAATGTGTAAAGTGAAGATAAGGATAGTTTACTCATATTGTTTCAAAACATTAAATTAAATTAAATTTAAAACAATTGACACATGCAACTTGTCCAATAAGTCCATCTGTGATAATAACAGCCACACCTTATTGGTGTCCTGTGCGCAGGCCTTTACTCAATGCTTAACATAAAGTGCACTCAGTAAATATTTTATGAGTGATTAAAGGTTGACAAGTTAAACCTGGTAATGGGAAGATCTAGAAACTAAAATTGAATCAGTCATCTGTAGTTAGTGTGGAGTCTTACTCTTCTGAACCAATAGTTAAATGAGTAACATACCAGAGTATGCAAAAGGACAGGTAATAATTTGATGGGAGGAGATTGTGTGTTATCTGACAAAGTGAGAACTAACACTCCACACCACACTAGCCTCGCTCACCTGGCCTTCTCCAACTCAGAACTCAGGAGAAAGAAGATGGACGTGGAGATGTACAGCCTACGAGAAAGAAAGGACTGTGTGCACCAAGAGGTCACCGACCCCCAGGATGATGACTACCTTTGTAAGTGACCCTCACTAAGAAGCATGTTATGATACAATAATTCCATCTAGTCCTTTGGTCCCCAGATCATTCCCTTCCTCTAGGGACCTGGAGTACAGGACTGAGTCTCAGTGATGTCAGTGCTGGACTCCCTCTGAAGGTCTTTGTGTCCAGGAACAGGCGCTATACCCTCCCTAACCTGTGTTGCTCTTGCCTCCAGATTGTGAGAAGTGTCAGAACTTCTTCATCGACAGCTGTGCTGTGCATGGACCCCCTGCGTTTGCAAAGGACAGTGCAGTGGACAAGGGGCATCCCCATCGCTCAGCCCTCACCCTGCCCCCTGGGTTGAGAATCGGGCCATCGGGCATCCCTGAGGCTGGGCTTGGAGTGTGGAATGAGGCAGCTGATTTGCCAGTGGGTCTGCACTTTGGCCCTTATGAAGGACACATCACAGAAGATGAAGAGGCAGCCAAGAGCAGATACTCCTGGCTGGTGAGAAGTCTTTACCTTTCCCTCTGTCCCCTGGCTTCCCACATTCCTTCTGAGGCTTGGAGGGACCTCACCTCTTATGTGCTAGACATGGAGGGGACAATGTGGTCAGCTCTGTATACTGACAGGACTTCACATGGACACAGAGCTCCTGTTTAAGGATCAGAAAGTAAGTGGGAGCAAAGTGGTGTGGACACCAAGGAGTGGCTCCTCCCTTGTGGGGCTCCTGCTGTGATTGAACAGGTAGACTCGGCTGTGTAGGTGATGAGGAAGAAAAATATCATGTGGTCACAGCTGGCAGTTGAATCCCCATGAAGGCTGAATGAGCTTTGATGACTGTGGAGTAAAATAATTCTATTACCTTCCAACCAAAAAAATAAAAGGTCTTTAACTTCTTTTCTGAAACACAGATCGCCAAAGGGAGAAACTGTTATGAGTATGTGGATGGAAAGGACAAATCCTGGGCCAACTGGATGAGGTGAGGTCAACAGGTCTCTGGCTGCCAGAGGGGACACTCATCCCCCACAAGCCCATATATCTTTCTCATGCCTTGTTCAATGGTCTACCTTAATCCTTTTTTCCTCTTTTTCTCCATACAGTGTTCTTTCATTTCAGGGGACATTTAGGAAAAAAGTATGGCATATGTCTTCAAAATATAAAACTCTCCACTAGACACAATGTGGGGACTGGAAAGGACCTTGAAGAGTCTAGATTCCCCTGGGGCACTGGATTACACTTTAATTTATCACATTAATCAGGCACTTACTATATTCCAGTTTAGATGAAGGAATACATTACTTAAACAGATCACACAACCCATGTCCTTATGAAGGGCTTCTTACAGACAGACATAAAATAATTGCTTTTAGAAGCATTTAACTGTAATTTCTGAGAAGTGCACAGTGTCAAGATAGCACCAACCAAGGATGGCCTAATCCTGTGAGGGCAGCAAACCATTCTGGTCTTCGAACTAGAGGCAGGTTCTGAGGCCTGCAGAGGAACGGTCATGGGCCCGTTTCCTGAGAGGAGTTGTCTTATTAGGGTTACCAGAATGTGAATCAACTACTGTTCTGTTTTATTTTACTAAGACAGAAAGACCTCCAATTTTCTATGGTAACCTTGGTCAGGCAAGTGCATGGTACCCTAAACAAAGTGTCGGGGGTGTTGAACAAAGGCTTCTCAAAAGAAAATAGATGTGGGCTGAGTATTGGATAATTAGTGAGCTAATTCAGAAGCAGAGCCCTAGATCAAGCACCAGGTTCTATGGTGTGAAACAACTTGATTTAGAGTTTGGAGAAGCCAGAAATGACTGGATATTATGACCAATCAGGGTGGAGGTTGAGTCTAGAACTGGGTTTTAGAAAATAGGCAAGATAAACACTGTAAGCAGGACTTGCAGGTAGGAATTCAATGACATGCTGACAGACGCTCAGACACGGAACAGAAGGTTCCCCGGGAGCATTAGGGGCCGTGGGCAACACCAGAGCCTGAGGGCCTTCAGAATCAGTGAGCACCTGGACATGGATGTAACAGGTACTGAGAATTCATCACTGTGCTTTTCTTTCCCTTCCTCTGCCTCAATCCCAGGTATGTGAACTGCGCCCAGGATGATGAAGAGCAGAACCTGGTGGCCTTTCAGTACCACGGGCAGATTTTCTACCGAACCTGCCGGGTCGTCAGGCCGGGCTGTGAGCTGCTGGTCTGGTTCGGGGACGAATATGGCCAGGAGCTGGGCAGCAAGTGGGGCAGCAAGTGGAAGAGAGAGCTCGTGGCTGGGAGAGGTGGGCACCACTGTTCTTCAAAACAGAAAGAGAGGAGAGAATTCTCTGTAGAACTAGTCATGATCCAACTCCTTAGTAGAGTAAAATCCACTCTGAAGTCAGTAAAGTTTCAAATCAGATGCTTCAGAAATTCACGATGCATTTATATGCCTTTGACTCTTAGGCAAAATTTTTATACTTTTTATTTTTGAAATATTTCATGCTCAAAATACAGAACCTCATATAGTGCTGAAAGGCTAACAGGCAAAAAAGAAAAGTTTCCAAGCACTAACCAGTTCTCACCAAGGCAGTTTTTCTGACACTTTGATACCTGTTTCTTACTTTTCTTCCATACTTCTAAATAAAATATTTCTGTTTATAAGCATTCGTTATTTAAAAAAAAATTTGCCCTAGCTGGTGTGGTTCAGTGGATTGAGCGTCAGCCTGTGAACCAAAGTGTTATCAGTTTGATTCCCAGTCAGGGCACATGCTTGAGTTTCGGGCCAGGTCCCCAGGAGAAGAGGACTCAAAGATTGATGTTTCTCTCCCTTTCTCCCCCATTTTCTGAAAATAAATCTTTTTTTTAAAATATATTTATTTTTACAGAGTGGAAAGGAGGGAGAAGAAAAAGTCAACGTGCAAGGAAATAATTGGTTGTCTTTGGCATGTGCCCTGACTGGGAATTGAACTTGTAACCTTTCAGTTTGTGGGACAACACCCAACCCACCGAGCCACACCATTCAGGCAGAGCATATTTGTTCATCATTTCAGTGAATTATGAAAGATCATAGTCTGTGGCACATAGCATCCTGGGACCTGGAAATACAGATTAACATGATGAGAATCACTGCTCTTGAACTGACTGTGGTTAGTGTGCCTGGGGGTCAGCGTGAGGGCACAAGTGCGGTGTGGCAGGGGTCCAAGAAGGGCTTTACTGGGAGACAACATTTACAGAAATAACTGTGGTCAAGGGATCCCAGGCCGAGGGAGCAGCTAGTGCAGGGAAGAAAAGGTGGGACCTAGAATTGGCTGAGAGTCACTTGGGTCTCCCAGCGTAGAGGGTAAGAATGGGCATCAGACAGATGCTTAGCAGCCCAGAGATGCAGGGCCGTGGTCCGTGTTGAGACGCGGGATCTCACAAGTGAAAGTGTGCACTCAGCTGTAGAGTGGTGTGTGTCCTGATTATGCTGTGTTAATTTTTAGAAAATAAACACCACCGGGGAATCCCCTCAGATTACTTCATCTCCAAGTGAGAGCACGGTGGACTGGCCAGAGAGGAACAGGAGTCAGGCGTGAGGATAAGTGTGGTTGGAGAAATATTTTGAAACATGACTGCTTAGTGTATTTGAAAAGGGCTAACACTGAATGAAATGAAGCATAAATACTTGGTGTGAAGCTTGAGCAAGGACATTTTTGGAGGGGAAGAGGGAGGGAAATAACGATGTGTGGTTGCCTCTCACACGCCCCATACTGGGGACCTGGCCCACAACCCAGGCATGTGCCCTGACTGAGAATTGAACCTGCTGCTCCTTACCTTGCAGGCTGGCAGTCAATCCACTGAGCCACATGAGCAAGGGCAGAAAGGACATTTTGTTTTACTGTTTTGGAAAACAAAACCAATTCCTAGTTGGGGCTTGTGGTTTTCCTCTTTAACATGACCTAGAAGACACCTATAAAAGGGACAGGTCACTGCAGTTCCATCCGCACAGGGAGTGAAATGGTCTCTGATGCTCCTCGAATATCGGTGGTCTGGGCAATATTAGAAAAGACCCTTGTGGGCTCTCTGGATTTCTGAAGAAGATGCACTGCATGAAAATAAAAAGGAAAAAAGGCTGCGAGTGGACACTTCGTATGCTGTGGTGACAGAGCTTGCGTTGTCACCACAGTAAGAAGGATTCATGGGGCAGGTCTTACCAGGAGACTAATCATATGTCCCAGATATTAACATCTGTCCTGACCAAACCTTTCTCTTTAGCAGAACCAAAACCAGAGGTGCACCCATGTCCCTCCTGCTCTCTGGCCTTCTCCAGTCAGAAGTTCCTCAGCCAACACGTGAAACTCCGTCATCCCTCTCAGATTCTCCCGGGAATATCTGTGCGAAAACAGCTCCAAGCAGAGGAACCCTGTCCAGGGGATCAGAATCAGCAGCAGCAACATACTAGTACACACAGCTGGAATGATACAGCTGAAGGTCAAGAGGTCAAAGAAAAGTCCAAACCTTTGCTTAAAAGGATCAGTCAGAGGAAAATCTCAAGACCCGTTTTCCAACGTTCCAAAAAACAGATGAGGAGCTCTACTCAACATGAGACAGTGATGGAGGAGGAGCCCAGTGATGGAGGAGGAGGTCAGAAAGAGAGTCCAGAGGGCGCAGGCAAGTTATTTGTGAAAGTAGGAATGTCAAGAATTGTAGCGATCAAGTATGGAAGATGTTGGCAAGGCTTCAATGATGGGTCACATCTCATCACACACCAGAGGACACACTGCAGAGAGAAGCCCTATGTTTGCAGTGAGTGTGGGCGAGGCTTTACACGGAAGTCACATCTTGTCACACATCAGAGGACACACTCAGGGGAGAAGCCCTATGTTTGCAGTGAGTGTGGGCGAGGCTTTACACAGCAGTCGCATCTTGTCAGACACCAGAGGACACACTCAGGGGAGAAGCCCTATGTTTGCGGTGAGTGTGGGCGAGGCTTTGCATGTAAGTCAGGTCTCATCACACACCAGAAGACACACTCAGGGGAGAAGCCCTATGTTTGCAGGGAGTGCGGGAGAGGCTTTGCCTGTAAATCAGGTCTCATCACACACCAGAAGACACACTCAGGGGAGAAGCCCTATGTTTGCAGGGAGTGTGGGAGAGGCTTTACACAGAGATCAGTGCTCATCATACACCAGAGGACACACTCAGGGGAGAAGCCCTATGTTTGCAGGGAGTGTGGGAGAGGCTTTGCTTGCAAGTCACATCTCATCAGACACCAGAAGACACACTCAGGGGAGAAGCCCTATGTTTGCAGGGAGTGTGGGCGAGGCTTTACACGGAAGTCAGTTCTCATCATACACCAGAGGACACACTCAGGGGAGAAGCCCTATGTTTGCAGGGAGTGTGGGCGAGGCTTTACACAGAAGTCATATCTCATCACACACCAGAGGACACACTCAGGGGAAAAGCCCTATGTTTGCAGGGAGTGTGGGAGAGGCTTTACACGGAAGTCAGTTCTCATAAGACACCAGAGGACACACTCAGGAGAGAAGCCCTATGTTTGCAGGGAGTGTGGGAGAGGCTTTACACGGAAGTCAGTTCTCATCCTACACCAGAGGACACACTCAGGAGAGAAGCCCTATGTTTGCAGGGAGTGTGGGCAAGGCTTCACATGCAAGTCAGGTCTCATCGCACACCAGAGAGTACACTCAGGGGAAAAGGTGTATGTTTGCAGGGAGTGTGGGAGAGGCTTTACACAGCACTCAAATCTCATCACACACCAGAGGACACACTCAGGGGAGAAGCCCTATGTTTGCAAGGAGTGTGGGCGAGGCTTTACACGGAAATCAGTTCTCATCACACACCAGAGGACACACACAGGGGAGAAGTCCTATGTTTGCAGGTGAACTAAGGGAGTCATTAGCATTAAGTCACATTCAATAGCCATAGGAAGTCCACGGCCCCTTACTCTCCCCAAGATTGTAACTAGTGCAGAAGTAACTGGTTAAACAAACCCTCCAGTTTCATGACAAGAGATGAGATGGACAAACAGTTCCATAGTGATATGGGGATGTCAGCACCAAACTCATTCATGGTTTTTTGACATCCTATTCTGAACAGTTTTGTCTCCATACAAATATGAAGCCCACATCCCTAATTCCCCCTATCACTGAAAGCAGAGAGCTCCAGAAGAGCCACAGAGAACTCACACTCAGCCACAGAAATTCAACTCCTGCAAATGCGTAAGTCTTTAGTCAGTCTACTTAGGTCACTGCCCAGAGAGAGGGATTTGAGACAGATTCACTAGGGAAGGGAATACCCTGGACTTTTGGGAAGTGGGGCCTTTTCTCCTAATAGGTTCCCTACCTTCCTCCCTTGGCTTCTCTTGGCTCTTCCGGTTTCCAACAACCTCAGGAGTCTCAGTGGCAAACATTAGGGAGGGATGTATGCTGTGCATAGATGTGAGTCTGGCTCAGTCCGGGCACCTGGTCTTACTCTCCTTGCTGCCCCTCAGGGTCAGCATTTCCTGGTGCATAGCACACAGATTCCACATCAGTTAATAGTGGGTGTGAGTCTCAGCTCTGTCTTCTCCAGCTGTGTGATGTAAGGCATGATTCTCAACTTCTCTCTGCCTGCTTCCTAGTCTGTACAATGGAAATGGCAATTCCAGCCTTTCTGTTTGACATTCAAAGTTGAGTCAGCACAGAGAGTCTGGCAAGAGGCTCTCTGAGATCACAAGTCCTGCTGAACAGTCTTCAGTGCCCACGTCTTCCAGGTCTTTAGTGCTGGACAAAGGAAGATAAGGAAAAGGTAGGGGTTTGTAACCAAATTCAGAATTTGAGCAGACCCCACTGCTTTCCCCACACAGACTGAATTGCCCTGAGAAGGAAGCCTGAGGTTGGGGAGGTGCCTCCCCCTGATCACCACCTTCTCACTGAGCCTGGGCATCCTCAGAGCCTCCTCAACACAGGCAGGTGGTGCTGAGAGTGAGCTGTGAAACAAGACCCTCACCCACCCCTGGATGAGAACTGACCCTGAAACAGCATCTGCCTGCACTGGGGTGTTAGGTGGGATAGATGGGAAGCCAAGGCAGGGAGGACGAGGAAGACCTCTGTCACCCACTAACTCAGCAGTCCTGAGCCTGCTCCAAGTCTATGGCCAGATGGTCCAACATCACAAGGAACACCATGCTAACTCGTTGAAATTCTAGGTATCATTTCCACCATCTCGCAAAGAAAGGCTTTCAAACTGTATTCATCCCAAGCTTAGAAGATGGGAGGGGGTCCACAGCACTCACGGAAAGGACCCATGAAACAAAACCGGCTAATTGTTTGCCTCTGGCCAGTATCTGATTTATGTGAGGGTCCCTAATGTTTACAGAAAGAGCCCATAGATCACTTTGGGTTCTCAAAGTTTACTGCCTCGACTTTAACTCTCCTGTCACGTATCTATTTTACAAGATGACCAAATAGGGTCTGAAGCAAGATAAGGATTCAGGCTAACAGATCCCCACACATACCTACATTTTGGTAGTCATATCTCATGGAAGCTGGTACCACTTTTACCCATCAATCTATATGTAACTTCTTTGCTCCCATCCTGTCAACTATATATGTCCTCAGGACAAAGGACCTGGTGCTCTTGCCACCTAAACTCTTGCCTTTCAACCTCACCTCAGTAAGACCTGTCCTCTCGCATGAGAGCGTGTCACTAATAAACCCTACTTGCATGCAAATACACTTGCCGATCTGTAATCCTTGACTGCATTGGCAAGAACTGAGTTTCTCCTGTGACAGGTGCACCCAATCTGCATGTGGCACTCATGAAGCTCACAAGGTGGCAGCTTCTGTAATGCACTGTCCTTGTACCTGGGCCCCACAGAGTTTAATGCACCACTGACACCATCTCGAAATTATTACTTAATTGTATCTTTGAACTTGTTTGTGAAGTCTGATGGGATAATAGACATGCACAATGTTGGTCATTCCTGGCCACCCGTTCCCAGATTATGTCCACAATGGCCCAGGAGCACAAAATTCCCATGGACTCAGTGGGTAGGAGTCCAGCAAGACTCAGGGTGAGAACAGGGTAAACATACATCTGTATAAGCGAGGGTGCTAACAAGCCCCAGAGGTCACACTGTTCTAAGAACCAGAGCTGAATTCAATACAGAGAGATGGCAAACAATTAGGACGCCATCACACCCTCTTCTGCATGAGGGAGACCTAAGCATGACCCATCCTGGTCCTGTGAGCCCTGTGACCTGGAATGACGACCTTTCTGTCCTCCCAGTGCCAGGCTTGTGGAGAGTGTCTCTGTAAACTATGTGGATTTCAATAAAAAATATCCACTATTATGTTCTTTAATGCTTTTTTAAGGGAAGGTTTATTTCTTGCATTTTGTATCTCCCCTGTTTCTCCCCCACCAGCACAGCCCAGAGAGAACACCGTAAACTCAATATTCTGTGGCTTTCAGCATGGGCCATGGGAGAGGGGCAGGGTCCTGGTGTAATGCTGGCAGTGTGGCTGGCACTGAAATACAGTGGGAAGGGAACCCGCAGACTGCTGGGTGATGGTCACCACGACCCCGCACAAGGACTGACCCTGGAGCTCTCCCGGAAGGCTTAGCGATTCAAGATGAATAGACAGGTCTGTTCCCTCTCCCTCCCCTTCAGCAGCAAACCACATTCCTAGTGTAGCTGCCAGCCTCCAAGGTGTCCCCCAAGTCCACATGCTGTCACCTCTGCCCTTGTACAGTCCCTCCACACAACCGAGCTGATCTGCGTTGTTAAAATGCTGTGCGGCTCTCAAAGCTAAGGGCCTGTCATAAACAGGCCCTTTTGTTTCAGCCTTGCTTGGATACTTCACATGGTCTCAGACCACCTTGTGCAGGGAGCTGGGTGCTTACACACCCCTCCCTCCCACCTGCCAGTGTCTGGCAGCCTCCATCCTTGTTTTGAAGTGGAGGCTCCAAGGAGTGAGTGCAGCCTGGCATCTGCTGGGTTCTGAGTCTCTTGCCCTTGACAGGCAGCTGAGGTTACTGTCCTGTCCCCATGACGCCCGGAACGCCTCCAAGGCCATGCTAGCTGCACCTGCTGGCTTCCCAACTCCTCCCTATGACACTGGGGTCAACCTGGATAGGGTAGGTCCATAGTCCTTGGGTGAAAAGGACATCAGTGGCTGAGGTGACAGGATGGCATGGCTACCTGCCTCCATCACACATTTGACTCTGACTACAGTGGTCACCGCAGCTGTGGCCAGTCCCACCTGGTTTATGTTCTTATTGTCTGCCACCCAGGTAAGGGGGCTGTGGGCTGGCTTGGGGACTACAGCTGGGCTGTGGAGGGAGTCACTGGCCAGAATGGTCAGCCACGAACACAGAACAGCTCAGTGCCCTCTAAGCTGGGGTCAGGTAAGCCTTTCTGAAATTTGGCAGATTTGTCTTGACACCCAGACCCTTCCCTGTCTGTTCTAGTTCTGGCCCCGGTCCTAACTGCCCTGGAAAGTTCCTGACCCAGCCTCTGAGAGCCACCCTTGGGGAGGTATGTTACCCATAGATGCTGACTTTAAATATCAGACTTTTTAAAAGTTACTAAACAAAGCTTTTTAAAAAATAAATTTTTTTTACTTCCGGCCAAGATAGAGGTGTAGGTGGAAATACTGGACTTCCTCGCACAACAAAGTTTAAGGACAACAAAGATTTAGAAACAAAAACACAACCAGAACAGACAGAAAATTGAACTGTACTGAAGTCTGACAACAAGGAACCATTCATCCAGACCAGTAAGAGGGGCAGAGTCAGCTGCAGGCAGAGAGGGGTCTCAGCAGGAAAAGGCGGTGGTTGGCAGATATGAGAACAGGAAGTAAACGAGCAAACCCAGTAAGGCGCACAAGGCAGTTGGCTGACCGTGGACACACATTCATACACAGATAAACCTGGCAAAAAACCAGCAGTGGGACAGACCGTGCAACCCAGGGCCCCAGCAACAGAAAATAAAGCCTAAAGCACCGACTGAAAAAATTTGTGGTGGTTGAGGTGCTGGGAGTGGCTCCCAGTCTCACAGGAGAGTTCTTGGGAGAGACCCAAAGGGTCCTAGAACATACACCAGCCCACCTACCTGTGAACCAGCACCAGAAGGGCCCAATTTGCTTGTGGGTAGCAGCAGAAGAGACAGAAATCTGAGCGAGAGCTAAGCAAGTGCCATTTTTCCTTCTCTGACACCGCCCCCACACACGCCACAACCCAGAGACTGGGTTGCCCCACCCGGGTGAACACCTAAGGCTCTGACCCTCATACATAACAGGCACAATCAGACCAAAAATGGCTCAATCAGAAGTACAAATCAAAGCCCCAGAGCCAATACTTTAAAATGACCAAGAAATAGCCAACTTATCAGATGCACAGTTCAAAACACTGGTGATCAGGATGCTCACAGAACTGGTTGACTTTGGTCACAAATTAAATGAAAAAATGAAGGCTACACTAAGTGAAATGAGGGAAAATGCACAGTGAACCAATAGTGATGGAAAGAAAACTGGGATTCAAATCAATGGAGTGGACCAGAAGGAAGAAAGAAACAACCAAATAGAAAATAATGAAGAAACAAGAGTTCAAAAAAATGAGGAGAGGCTTAGGAACCTCCAGGACATCTTTAAATGTTCCAACATCTGAATTGTAGGGGTACCAGAAGGGGAAGAGAAATGGCAACAAGTGGAAAACTTATTTGAACAAATAATAAAGGAGAACTTCCCCAATCTGGCAAATGAAATAGACTTCCAGGAAGTCCAGGAAGTTCAGGAAGCTCAGAGAGTCCCAAAGAAGGTGGACCCAAGGAGAAGCACACGAGGCACATCATCATTACATTAGCCAAGATTAAAATGAAGGAGAGACTCCTAGAAGCAGCAAGAGATAAGGGGACAGTCACCTACAAAGAAGTTCCCATCAGACTGTCAGCTGATTTCTCAAAGGAGACCTTACAGGCAAGAAGGGGCTGGAAAGAGGTATTCCAAGTCTTGAAAGGCAAGGATCTACATCCAAGATGACTCTGTTCAGCAAAGCTTTCATTTAGAATGGAAGGGCAGATAAAGTGCTTCTCAGATAAGGTCAAGTTCAAGGAGTTCATCATCACCAAACCCTTATTATATGAAATGTTAAAGGGACTTATCTAAGAAAAATAAGATAAAAATATGAACATTGAAAAGACAGCAAACTCACAGTTATTAACAAACATACCTAAAACAAAAGCAAACTGAGTGGGCAGCTAGATCAGGAGCAGAGATGGAGAAACGGAGATCACATGAAGGGTTAGCAACAGGGGAGTGTGAGGAGGAGAGGGGCAGAGAAGGTACAGAGAATAAGTAGCATAAACGGTGGGGAGAAAATAGACAGGGGGAGGGCAAGAGGAGTGTGGGAAATGTAGAAGCTAAAGAACTTATGACACATGGACATAAATTAAAGGGGGGAATGTGGGTAGGAGGGGGTTTGCAGGCTGGAGGGGAATGAAGGGGGGAACTGGGACAACTGTAATGGAATAATCAATAAAATATATTTTAAAATAATTTTTTACAGTAAGAAATTATTAATCTCATTACCTGGAGAAAACTGTAACATTTTGAAATTTGCATGTTAAGATCTTCTTTTGCAGACTCATACTTGATGGGAACATTTTTTTTTTCTGATGCTATACAGTTATTGATTTAAAAAAGTGAGTTTGGGAAATACAAAAAATGAAAGCACCCATTATTCCATAATCCAGAAGGCACACCAATTAGCACAGCCTGTTAGAGCTTTCTGTTCGCTGTACGCATGGGCACATCTACACACCTTTCCTTACAAACAGTACGGAGCCCCGTCTGACTTCCTCAGCACGCTCTTTCCCTTCAAAATGTCTTCAACACCTTCTTTCAGTTTTCACAGTTACACTGGGTCCCCACATCCCAGGCTGGGCTGAGGTTGCACCAACCCCCCTTGTTGGACCAGAATGGTGTTTCCAGGGAGAGTCTGTGCAGCACACGTCAGCCTAGTTCAGTGCAGACGTGAATGTGCAGTGTGTGCCGTGCATTCAGGGCCCAGTGTCCTGCATTTAAGGGGACAGCACACTCCACCTCCAGGCCTCACAGGATGTCAGCATCCTCCTCTCAGCCTTCTTCTCCTGAGGAAGGCGTTTCAAAATCCTTGAGGCCAAGGAGGGGGTGGGGGTTCTGGGGAGCAGAGGAGAAACATGACGGCTGAGTGGTGGCTCTGAGGTGGGACCACGGGCATTGTCCTCTGTGCCCTAGCCTACTTCTCTTTGGTTTTATAGCTTTTTGCCCAGGTGATGTGTTCTAATGAGGGCCCCCAAGATGTCTCAGATGCTGTGGTTGGTTATGGAAGGTCAGGACACAGCCCAAGCCCTTCCCACAGGTCAGCGTGGTGCTGACAGCCGCTGGGCTTACTGAACGTTTAGGCTTGTGCTGTCGTCTCTCTCCTGTTGTCTTTTTAGGAAGCTCTCTCTGGGCACTAGATGGACTACTGATGTTCCTCAATGCCCACCTTAATCTCAAGAGGCAAAGGAGAGACTGCGCTACCCCCCCCCCATCTACTTCCCAGAGGATGACTGAGGCCCATCCCCAGAACTGTAGGTCGGGAATTGACAGACCTAGGCAGGCCTAGGAGGAATGGAAATTCACCAGGAGGAAAACTGCAATTCGGGAAACTGCCTGCCGACCCTACCCAGAACCAACAGATGCTCAGCTAAGATTGGAATCTGGGGTCAGCTTGTCCGGCATAACAGGATGCGGCTTTAACCTGAGGCTGAGAAGATGTACCAAGAACAATGGTCAGCAGAAAGGGCACCCAGCCACCAGCTCCAGTCAATCAGGCTCTGACACCCCAACCAGTTACCCTTCATGGGTTTTTGTGCTTAAAAACCCTGCCCTAAGAACAACCGAGCAAGTCCCAACCTCCCTTGGTCGGCCCCACTTTCTCCATCCCCCCCCCCCCAATAAACCCTGCTCCTTAGCTCACCGCATCTGTCTAATTTGTTGAACAACTGTGACCGAACAGGAATGGCCAAGGGCAAGCTCTGGTCTCATTCAAGGAGTCCCGTTGAGAAGACTTAGGCCTGATGGGGATTATTCTCTGCAGCTTCTGTTCCTGTGTGATCTTCAGATCAAATCGAACAAGGACAAGAAAGTCCGGATTTCCTACAGCATCACTGGCCTGGGCACTGACCCACCTCTTTTTCTTTTTCTTTATCCTCACCCAAGGACATTTTTGTCACTGCTTTTAGAGAGAGGGGAGGGGAGAGAGAGAAACATCGATGCAATGATTGGTTGCCTCCCATACACATGCCGACCAGAGATCAAACCCTCA